AAAATTCTGACTTCAACTGTATATTTATGTGAAACTTGGCAATTAATGGGAAAAAAAGTCAAATCTTTTTTAAAAGTTGTAATAAAGAGAGACTAATATAACTTTACTAGTAGCATGTCTTACCAGTTGTTTGCCAGTTAAATGCTCATTTTTCAATGCTTCAATCACCACTATATAAACATTTAGATTTTTATGTCAGTACTTTAATTCAGCAGGTATTCTTTAAATTAATTGAAATTGTTGTAAATACACCATGCATCCTGCTGGCAATGGATTAATAGTTCATCCATATGACATTTTATGTTCACATAAATTCAGTGTTTTCTTACCAAAGTTGAATGATTAAACACATGCATTTAATGTGGTATCTTCTACATGTATCAAGTCATTTGTTTGTCACAAAAATCTCTTTATCCTAAATATATTTGCTCAGAAATGTCAATAACTTAAAGCGTTTACAAAATGTAAGGTTATTGCCTGGTTTTATTGTTTTATTTAGCTTTTATGTGCTCCAACTTAGTAATTCATTTAGCAATATTATATAAAATTAAAAAAAATATTTATTAAGTAATTATGCAAAAATATTTTCATGATAGATTAGTTGTAAGAGGCCAAATACTTCTAGACCCACCTGACAGCATATATTCCAGCATGATTTCCTTGGTTAACTGGAAAAACCTGTACTGAATTTCCATCCAGATACTCAGAAAATGCTCAATGCTGAAGTTCTTGCTGACTCGTCGTGAGCTCGGTGGTTGATATAAAACTATATTGAAGAAATAGTTTCAGACATACCTGAGGGCGCCTAAAACATCCAAATGTCCTTTTTACCTTATTTCTTAAGCTAATATTGTGTAAGAAAATCATGTAGATGATGTAGGCCCAGGCAATATTCACAATAAATTTGCAGTGTTTATTAGTACCACTCATGTATTTCACTTTTTAATTGGCTGTCAGGTTTCACAAAGTGTCATTTGCCTGGTCTTTGATTGGAAAACGTCAGTGTGAATAATTTACATTTGTTTTCATTTTATAAATATAACTAATTTAGTGTGCCAGCACTCACAAGTTTTAATTTGTGCGCACATTATATCATTTATGCATTGATATATGGTAAATGTGGGTAAATAAAGCCATTAGTGATAGTGTATTTTAACATTGGTGCTTTTAAATTATAATATTAAAATTAATATTGTTCTTGCTTGTGAACGTTGCTATTTTAACCTAACTTTACACTAACTTTCTAACCAAGTTAATTGGTTTTATTAATTTGCTTTTTGTATAATTTACAGTAATACCATTGAAATAATTTCAGAAATGGATATTGAGATGCATACTGTATCAAATGTGAATAGCTGAAAAATTTAGAAAGTTATGTGATCTCCCAGCCCTGTGCACTTCTGCGGTTTGGTGTTCATGTGTTTGTTAGCGTCAGGGTTTGCATCTGTGAATGTCTGTCTGTTTAATAGGCCCTTGAGGGGGTTAAAATTTGCCTCTCGGCCACAAGATGGAGTTCCTTGCAAACATGTGAACCAGTGCACAAAAGTTATTAACCAGTGAACCAAGTTACCACTAAAAACTCACAGACAACCCATAGCATAAACATTTTCCCAAGATAAAAATGCAGTTGCCTTAAAATCTGAGCATCAAATATTTCTATAAAACCAAGTGTTGCATGTAGATTAATCATGATATTAAACTAAACGATAATTAAACAGTGGGGCAATAATCATATTGATCCCAGTGACTTGCATTGTAGAAGGGATCTGATACTTCATGCCATTTTTATTTTTGGTGTGATGAAATGCCCAAAACACCATATAAACCCAGCAACCAGAGCTGTAATGTAAAAAAAAAATCATAATTCATAATTTTTTTTTGTTTTTATTTTCATGTTTGTTTTTTTTATTTATTTGTTTATGCGTTTAAATTAATCTTGATCTTTTCCCCAACAACTATTGATGTTGAAAAGTTTTAAAAAATAACTTTTATTGCATATTTAATGGTTTGAGGTGTAATATCGTTAACTAGGTTGTTGTAAATTATAGTAGAAAGCCATATATTAATAGATTTAATAATTACAAAAATTAAATAATTCAGACGTGTCAAACAGATTCAATCAAATATGAGCATATAAGCTAGGAAGAGAATTGGGTAGGCTAAAATTGTGTGTGCGCGCGTGCGTGGATGTTTCCCAGAGATGGGTTGCGGCTGGAAGGGCATCTGCAGCGTAAAATAGTGCTGGATAAGTTGGCGGTTCATTCCGCTATGGTGACCCCCAGATCAATAAAGGGACGAAGCTGAAAAGAAAATGAATGAAAGCTAGGAAAAGAGCAAATAATTTGAAAAATGCTCTTTTCTGGAGTTGTTTTCTGTAGTGAACTATTAGCCTGCGGACATTAATGAATCCTGAGGTAAACATAGTGACGTTGTTTACTTGCTTGTTTACAAATGCTTAAGTGATTACATGAGACGTAGGCATGTCAATAATCAATATATGGACTTATCACACGTTAACACATGGACATGACCTCAGTCATTTTTGGTGATGCAATATTAATCCCCCATAGCTAAAAAAAAAAAAATTCTAGCAACACTTCAGCTTATTGCGCAGCCTCTCTTCAGTATGATCAAAAAAACACTTTAGTATTTACTAGAAATTACTACAGTAGATTTTCATGTGGGTGCCTGAAGGCTGAAACTAGATCTGGTTGCAGATATGGCAGTCTCTGTTACTTTTTATCTTGCACTTTTTTGTTCACTTTTATTATTATTATTTATTTAGAATAGACTTTTTTACATACTGATTCCTATTCCTAATTATTTAAAAGACTATAATTAAATGAAGTAATCTTAAAAATAAAATATGATGTGTTTTTTGGAAGTGTGTCCTTGCATTGTGATGATATTAAATTGTCATTCTGGCATTTAATAATGAGTGGCATAAAATGGTCTTAAAATGACAATACTATTGTTTATCGCAATATATTTTGGTTTAAAATGTCATACAACATAAAATAGATATCATGACAGGCCTAAAGAGACCTGTATTTATTGGTTGTTATAACTGCTAGTAGCATAGAGGAAGGAATGACACTTCAGAGTGAAAACAGCTTCTATTGTTTGCATTTCCTGATGAAATGGGCAGAATTTGAAAGAGCAGCCTTTATTGTTGTTGTTATAATTTCTGATTAAGTGTTATCAATTAAAACAGCACAGACAAGAAAGTTTACAGTGGGATTTACAAATTATAAATCAATATGAAAGAGAAGGTTCAGCCCAAATTCAAAATTTACTCACCCTCAAGAATTGATATTTTGAAACTCTTGGAAAACTGTAATCATTGACATCCATAGCAGGGGAAAAATAAATACTATGGAAGTCAACGGTGACAGGTTTCTAACCTTCTTCCAAATGTCTTCATTTGTGTGTTCAACTGAAGAAAAAAACTCAAACAGGTTTGAAACGAGTGGAGGGGGAGTAAATGACTGAATCTTTAGTTGAACTATGCCATTAATTCATTAAAAAGAGACAAACCGTTGCCTTAGAATTATAAGGTTCTATCTGACATTTTTGTCAAAATTGAGTTATTGACATATTCTTATTAAATGACAACTTATTTACATTATAGGATGTTTTTTTATAAGTTGTTTACATTTTAAGACTTTTTATAAAAAAAAAAAAAACATGTTACACACATACTGTTTGCTATGGAATGTAAAAACGTTGAAGCTCAGTATCTCAAAATCATTCAGAACGCATATAAAACCTTATAATTCCAAGGTGACAGTAGTTGAAGTCAAAATTATTAGCCTGGCCTTTTTCAAAAATTTTCCAAATGATGTTTGACAGAGCAAGAAAATTTTCACATTATTTCCTATTATAGTTTATAGTCGTATTTGTTTTATTTTGGCTAGAATTAAAGCAGTTTTACATAAAAAATAAAAATAAAAAATAAAAACATTTCAAGGTCAGTATCATTAGCTTCCTTAAGCATTATTTTTTTTGATTGTCTACAGAACAAACCATCAGCATTTGCCTAATTACACTAAGGGTGCTTTCACACCTAGATTGTTTTGTTTTGAAACAGGGATTAACATTTTTACAGTGTTGCACTTTGTTCTTTGTGCAGTTCACCGAATATAAATCAGACTTTCTTATACATAGCATTGGCTATAATTATGCATTATAGGCTTTACATTATAGAGAGAGATGACAGATAAACCAAGACTGTAGTCAGTCATTTTCCTAACAGACAACCGCTTTCGTTAATATTTCAGCATGCTTTCATATTTGACATGAAATGCACATTAACTGGTACGAATGATGACATCCCGCCCTACTCCTAATTCTCTCTTCATATAGCCATAAATGCCTATTACATATCCATAATACACTGTGATAGAGCCTGGCTTGTTAGTTCATTGGATTGAATTACTTTCTCACAACAACCGATCCGCTCCACAGTTTGTTTCAATCCAGTCGAGACCACCTCATTCAGGCGATCTCAGACCGATTGTTTTGGCATGGATCCAAGCATGATTGCTGTATTCACATATGCAAAATGAACCGCGCTAACTGGGGAAGCATGCCAGGTTCTGAAATAAAAAACACCCTAACTTGCCTAATTAACCTAGTTAAGCCTTTAAACTGCACTTTAGGCTAAATAATAGTGTCTTGAAAAAATATCTAGTCAAATGTTATGTACTGTTATCATGGCAAAGATAAAGACATCAGTTATTAATGTTATCAAAACTATTATGTTTAGAAATGTGTTCTTCTTTTCGTTGATCTTCTTTTTGTTCAACAGAAACTGGGCAAATAAATATACAGGCAGGCTAATAATTCAGGAGGCCTAATAAGTCTGACTTCAACTGTATATAAAACAATAAGTTTCAAAGGATGTTGACCACATGCAATTCTTAAAACGAAGCTTAAAAAAGCAAACCCATAGTAAGCGTGTACAATTTCTTCATCTCTTTGTTTTACTTTTTTCGCAGGGCATTAATGGACCCTTCCCGTTTGGACAGTCTTAAGATACAGAAACCACCTGGTGGCTCATCAGAGCTGCTGCTTTTGCCCTTTTCTGGGTTTCAGTGAGAGAAGGAACGGATTTACTCTAAAGACTTGGTGACCCTCCTTCTCCCCCTCCGATCACAACATCACATAAATGTGTGGACAAATCTGTTTGGCTCCAAATCAATACTGAACCAACACCTGAGTTACGCATGTGTGAATGCTAGATTTAGACGAGTGCTAGAAGTTCTAAAGAGATATAATGAAAAAATACACCTTTTTTTGATCTGTATTGTCACATTACAGCAGTTAATTCAGATGTGTGTGTGTGTGTGTGTGTGTGTGTGTGTGTGTGTGTGTGTGTGTGTGTGTGTGTGTGAGTTCACGAGAGAAAGAGGCAGAGTGATGGATGAATGAATCTCTCAAGAACGCCAGTCACGTTTCACCGCAAAATCAGCAGAAATGGCATCGAAGTTATACTTCGCATGAAGAATATTACGCTTTTTTTTGTTGAGATTTTAAGATCGTTTTACCTCATGATATTTTTCATAACAAATTTCCATTATATAACTGATCTTTGTGTGTGTGTGCGCGTGTGTAATTCCCATTGTTTCTCACCTTTAAATTAAATGATTGTATTACTTTTTTTAAAAAGATATTGCACTATTTTTATCAGACTGATGGAAATACATTCAAGAAAACACAAAGTACTAATAATTTATCATTTAAATAATACATAACATCAAACACGGAAAGATTAAATGTATAGTTCACCCAAAAAAGTCATTTATTCTCCCTTAGGTGGTTTTAAACCTAAAAGTTTCTTTCTATTGAACACTAAAGAAGATATGTTGAAGCATGCTGGCACCCATTGTGTTTATTTTTTCCTACTATGGAAGTCCCAGCAGCCAGCATTTTTCAAAGTAGCTTCTTTTCGAGTGAGTTAATGATGGCAGAATTGTCATTTTTGGGTGAACTGTCCCTTTAAATTGCATACTTGATACTCTTAAGCAAAGTATAATTCCTAATGTCTCTGGATTTGCTGTGAAGCGTGACTGGAGTTTGTTTTTGAAACCTTTCTTTTCTTTTTTTGCGAGAATCACCTCAATATGTGCGCGACTGAGTGTTTCAGCAATGCACAAAAGCCATCAACAAAGAATTAATGCCTGTCAAGTAGTTTTTCATCAATGTTCTTTGACTTTTTCCTTATAAAGTGATTACTAAAAAACAAAACAAGAGGTCAGCGTGCCTGCTTGGAGGTGTGTAATTGACAAACGATTTCATATGGTCCTCTGCTAGCTAATTTTATCACGCTTCGGATTCGGTAACAGAAAAACCCAGCAAACCTGTACAGCATACATGAGCAGATTATGTCTCATTTCTAATGAAGTATACATCCGTACTGCCACCACAGGTCAAGTCATAGCTGTTGTCAGAGATGACCGTACTATCTAGTTGCTGTTGTCATATTTGTTTACATTGATGTTGTTCTAGAGTGCTGATGTTGGTGACACAATCCATCTGAGATGATAGTAAGCGGATGTGGCTTTGGTTCCCTTGTTTACTGACCTAAGAGTTCGCAAGCACATTTGATTTGTCTTTTCCCAATCACATGTTTCTGTTCTTCACCTAGACCTACGATGGTATTAAGCTGTTTTAAATGAGCTGAGGGTGTTTTAATGAGAGGAAAGCTTGTGTGAGTGTGTGTGTGTGTGTGTGTGTGTGTGTGTGTGAGTTCATTTTAAAGGAATATTCTGGGTTAAGTGCATGTGGTGTGATGGAAAATAATTGAGATTTGTATACCTCTCTTAATAAAACTGAACTGAAAATGCATTGTTTATATATGTCTACGATTGGAAGTTTCATGAGGCGATAACTTCTATTGTACACTTTTATTTGGGGTTTGTTATTTGGTCACTTTACAGCAGTCCTGGAGATCTACCTTTCTGCAGAGTTCAGCTGCAACCTTGATCAAACACACTAGTTCAGGCATGTCCAAACTCGGTCCTGGACGGCCGGTGTCCTGCACAGTTTAGTTCCAACCCCAATCAGACACAGCTGGGATAGCTAATCAAGCTCTTACTAGGCTTTCTAGAAACATCCTTGCAGGTGTGTTGAGGCAAGTTGGAGCTAAAATCTGCTGGACACCGGCCCTCCAGGACTGAGTTTGGACGCCCCTGCACTAGTTGTTCTTGATTAGAATTGGAGCTGAACTCTGCAGGAAGATAGATCTACAGCACAGGTGTCAAACTCAGTTCCAAAAGGGCCGCAGCTCTGCACAGTTTAGTTCCAACCCTAATTGAACACACCTGATCAAACTAATTGAGTCCTTCAGGCTTGTTTGAAACCTACAGGTAAGTGTGTTGGAGCAGGGTTGGAACTAAACTGTGCAGGGCTTCGGCCCTCCAGGAATTGAGTTTGACACCCCTGATCTACAGGAACAGGATTGGGCACCACTGCTTTACAATAAGGTTTCAATAGTTAATGATGGCTAATGCATTTACTAGCATGAATTAATTATAAACCAGGGGGGGTCCAAACTCGGTCCTGGAGGGCCAATGTCCTGCATAGTTTAGCTCAAACATCCTTCATCACACCTGCCTGGAGGTTTCTAGTATATCAAGAAAGGGCTTGATTGGCTGGTTCAGGCGTGTTTGATTGGGGTTAGAACTAAAACATGCAGGACACCGGCCCTTCAGGACCGAGTTTGGACCCCCCTGGTATAAATGCAGCTTTTATTAATCATGGTTCAACATTTACTAATGCATTATTAGCATCCAAATGCATTATTTTTAGCATTAGTTAATGCACTATGAGTTGAAACTTGCAACGAACAGCTATTTTCGTTGCCTAACGTTAAATAACATGAGAAAATACTGAAGTGTGTTGTTCGTTCATGTTAGTAAATGCGCTAATATTAACTAATACAACCTTATTGTAAAGTGTTACCAACTTAATCAACCAAATGTTTGTTTTTCTGAGCTATTGCATTTAACCAAAAATATTCTTTTAATTTGTATTCCTGAGTTATTGCGAAAAGGTTGAGCTGGAAAGCTCCGAGTAATATTTTAACGCAGAAAGAAAGTGTTTGTGGAGTGTATTCGGTTTAAATCGTGCCTCTGTGTTTGATATGATGGAAGGCTTCGTGGATGTTTATATCTTGCTAAATATATCCGAAAGGCGCCATTTTTACTCACCGTTTGTTTAGCTGCAATTTATAAAACATTAACGACGCTTATTTATCGGTCCGTTTACTACAATAAGGATAAAAGCGTTTCGATAAATGGCCTGCCATCCTCGAGCAGTATGCAAATCGATGACCAATCTAAATTGACCTTTACGTCAAGGCGAACGAGATTACAGTGTCAGCACGTCCTGTTCAATTGAATTCGTCAGGCAATTCTTGTCCGTTTCACTGATTTCTATGCACCTGGAAGATTTTGCCATTACCGATACTGACATTGCGTCCGGATTTGTAGAATTGCTGTGGCTTCAGTACATTGCAAACGATCTATGCAGTGTTTTAAGGGGGAAACGTTCCCCTTTCATATTCCACAAAAGTTGCACTCGCAGCTGAAGCATAACGGAAGTAAATGTCCCGAAACTGGTGGCTGTTTAATGTTGAAGTAGACTGACGTGCTCGGCCCGTGCACAGCTCATTGGATGATGTCATGGCTTCATCAGCCTGAGCTGTTACTAGTGAATGTCCTCATCCCAGGCGCTGCACACTTCACAGCCTCTTCTTTTTTGCCCATTTATAATTACGCTCTGGATTTTTATTTTTTTGGTGTTGCTTATGCATGTGAGATGTGTGATTGATATCATTGCTGCATTACGTCTTTTTTTGATTTTTTCTTTTCTTTGTGTGATCTGTTGGGTTTCCTGCACCGTTGGCATGGTGTATGACTGAGCGGAGAGTTTGAGTAGAGTCCTATGATAGCACAGTGAAAAAGAGAAAATATGAAAAGCCTTTTCCTGTATGTATAATTGAACATTTGTATGATTAAATTAACACTGAAACAAATGATTCCGTCGTCTTGTGTTTTGCATGCGGAAGCGGTGTGATTTGAAGAAGACAGAGGGCGCTCACTTTTTCGCAATTGGATATTTTTCTTACAAAAATGCACAAATTCACTACAGAAGACCATTATTCATCCCCGGAGATGCAGAAGGCACTTGTGATTACAAATAGATGCACTTAATGGGTCTTTTTAGATACAAAATAAGCTCACTGTTGACATTGTAAAGCTGGAAAAGCTCAAGATTTTTTAAAATATCTACCATTGGTTTTGACCAAAAAAAAAAAAAAGAAGGTCATTTACACCTAGAATGCATTGAGAGTAAAGTAAATCATGGAATAATTAAAATTTTTGGGTGAACTAACCCTTTAAATCACTGGCCACTTTATTAGGTACACCTGTACAACTGCTCGTTAACATTACTTTCTAATCAGCCAATCACATGGCAGCAACTCAATGCATTTAGGTATGTAGACATGGTCAAGACGATCTGCTGCAGTTCAAACCGAGCATCAAAATGGGGAAAAGAGGTGATTTAAGTGACTTTGAACGTGTCATGGTTGTTGGTGCCAGACAGGCTGGTCAGATGAGAATGGCCAGACTGGTTTGAGGTATTAGAAAGGCAACAGTGACTCAATATAACCTCTTGTTACAACCGAGGTACACAGAGGAGCATCTCTAGACACCAACACGTCCAACCTTGAGGCAGATGTGCTACAGCAGCAGAAGACCACACCGGGTGCCGCTCCTGTGAGCTAAGAACAGGAAACTGAGGCTACAATTCGCACAGACTCACCAAAATTGGACAATAGAAGATTGGAAAAACGTTACCTGGTCTGATGAGTCTCAATGTTTTCTGCGCCATTCAGATGGTAGGGTCAGAATTTGGTGTCAACAACAAATGCATGGATCAATTCTGCCTTGTATCAATGGTTCAGGTAAGTGGTGGTAATTTAATGATTGGGGAATATTTTCCCTATATGACCATTGTGTACCCATCTTCTGATGGCTACTTCTAGTAGGATAACGCGGCATGTCAAAGCGTGAATCATCTCACCTACACAGTCACCAGAACTCAATCCAACAGAGCACCGTTAGTATGTGGTGGAACGGGAGATTGGCATCATGGATGTGCAGCCGACAAATCTGCATCAACTGCGTGATGCTGTCAAGTCAATACAGACCAAAAAATCTAATGAATATTTCCAGTACCATGTTGAATCTATGCCACGCAGGATTAAGGCAGTTCTGAAGGCAAAAGTGGGTCCAACCGGTACTAGTAAGGTGTACCTAATAAAGTGGCCGGTGAGTGTATATATATATATACTAATGCACAAAGAAAAATTGTGGATTTTTTTTTTTGCTTTAAAACATGCATGTTCTTCATGACAGAAAGCTTTTTGGACTTTTGTAACGGATGATATTGCACAGTCTGAAGATTAAATATGAAAGCAAACACTACACCTGATACCTGAGCTCAGATGCAGGATCTTCTGTCGTCACTTTTCTGAAGTCTCTGTCTTTTAATCAACTTGCGATCTGGTTCACACCGGTATCCTATAAGAGAAACCACACATGTTATTAAATCATCATTGACTATAAAGTAGTTCCTCGTACATTACACAACCTCCTTCATTCGTAGCTGTATGCAAATTTATTTCACAATCCAACAAACTTATGTCTTGTTAACATTTAGATATTTGAATTTTACTATTTAAAGTGTTAATAAAAACGAGAAATTCCTATTTTCTCACTCTCAACTAGTTATAACAGGGTTTGAATTATACATTGACAATCAGGCGGAGGGGGGTTGGGGGATGGTCGACATTTTTGGTAATGATAGTTTGTGTAATACATGCTTCAGCGAATCAAATGTATGATTTTTTTTTTTAAGTTGCATATAATCTATTAAGACAAGTTTTTCTGTGTTTTGAGGGATATTTAGAGTATTCTGAGCTACAGTAGCTTCTTATTAGTTATTTTAGAGGATACTGTAGGTCAAACTATACAAACTATGCATCTTATTTACCTTTTAGGTGATCTGTAGATACAAACTTCTATTCCTGCATAGACTGATAATGGTATGAACCGTTATAGGGGTGGCCAAATGTATGATTATATTCAGAGTTTGAACCTTTTCGAAAAAAAAAATTTTTTTAGTGTTAAGACATAATACTGTTTGGGTTACTTATGTAGGTTTACATATTTCATTTTTTTTTTTTTTTTGTGTGTGTGTGTGACCACCGTTACAAAGGACTGGATATCTTTAAAGAATTATGATCAGAATATATATTCAGATATTGCAGGAAAGGACATCGTGATGGTTTTTTTCAAGTTTTTTATTGCTTGTTTTCTTCTAGTTCATGACAAAATAATACAAGCACATATTACAAGTGATCACTTGTGGCCTACTAAATGTTAAGCGAAAATGAAGACAGTGGTTACTAGGACAGAAGTACAATATTATCCTTTTTTATTTATTATTATTATTATTAGGAGAACCTGGTGAGTAGTTTAAAATTGTGTTACAAGACATTGTCACATAAGACCAAAAATCTTCCCACACTGGGAGACATACAGGGACTCCTGCTTTGTCCTTATTATGTAATTTGTGCAGTAAACGTTCATACAAAGCTGTTTTAGTCATTATATTGGCCCACTCTATTAACTCCTGTTTTAACTCCTGTGTCCTGTTGAGTTTTCCTGTTTTAAGATGACTCTAGCTGTCACTGAGATCCCCACCATGATGACTGTGAACTCTCCTTTTCTGTTCTCTATCTGCCAGTAAGCATTACCTTGGTGACAGTGGTATTAATGTTCC